GTCGGAGTTTGTAGAAGCCGAAGAACGGCGCCTATGTCTTTTACGTTGCTCCTTAAATGGTTCTCCATGTAAGGCGTTCATTAAGTGGTCGACTTTTTGTTCTAATTCTTTAATTTTTTGGTCACGATATTCAATTTCAGTAATTGCTTGGTTTTCTTCTAATACACGTGTTTTGTTTAAGATGCATATTAGAAAGTGTTGCAGTCTATGTGAAGCATGATAAGTAATTGTTTCACTAGTTAATATGTCTTGAGCTAGTGCAGAGAGTCTAGCGCATTCCTCAACAGTGGAGAGGATGTGTAATTGTTTTTCCAGATACGTGATGAACTGATCAGTTTCTGCTTCATTTTGGAAAAGCTTTTTTTTCTTCCTCCGGATAAGCAATGATCTTTGAAATTGGTGAGCTAGGTGGTGAGTGCGACATTTTTTCTCTATTCTTTTCTGGGCTGATATCTGGTGGAATTGCAGCAGAATTCCTTAAAATGATCTGTCATTGTGTATCATGTAATACTCAAAAGAGTATCGACCGCAGGAACAGGAGAAAAAAAAAAAAAAAATCGAAGAGCCACTTTGCCCGCACCGCGCCGGGTGTGCAATAGGTAGAATCTCCGATGAATACAACCAGTGCCTCTGTCAAGCGCCGACACGCAAGCTTGGAGGGTACTCTGGTTGCAGAACGACCAAAATTCTAAATTATTTCTTGTTAATCACAAGAAATTATTTGCACAGAGTGATTCCGTGCGATAAGCATATATGGCACAATTGCTTCGTCGATACCAAAGCTGCCACGTGTTAGTCCTAGTAACTCCACGAGAAATCCAAGAATGAGATGCGAATCACGAATGAGCAATGAGGCGGCGGAAAAGCCGGTAGAAGTCCATAAATATATGGATATATGAACTTCTACCGGCTTTTCCGCTCAACCAATCGAAATGAAATTTCAGATATTATTAGTTTAAGGTATGCGCTCTGTATTGTGATGTCTAAAAACAATAAAGCTGTTACAGTTGCAGTAAAAACATTTTACAATTTTCGAATACCAATACCCATTCTTTTTCCTTGCAAATTGATCAGCGAATTGAAAAATCATAAATGGCGTTGGAATGATACACGTATGACGAAAATTGGCTGCGTAAACCATTTGTAAAAAAGAGCATTGTAAAGGACCAATGACAACACAGAGAGGATGTAGTTTTCATAATTCTCACGGATAGGAAGTAGAAGCACCAATCACAAAACATCATATGCAAATCATTGCTTGTAAACATTGTTTAATAAGCAGGCAGAAATACTGTTTCTTCCATCAGGTGTTTGAACGTGCTAACAAGATGACATTTACAGGGAAACAACGAGATGAATTGATAAAACTGTTTCATCCGAACGGGTAAAATACCGACAAAGTAGTGCGAGTTTATCGACGAAATCATAAGCTAAGACGAGGCCTATATTGGTAATAAGGTCTGAAGAAACTGGATACGTATGTGATAGATCGTGATCCGGACGACCATGTGTTCCTGTTGAAGTTGTTGCAGAAGATACAGATTGATGCGATCTGTGATGAATAAAGCTGTGATGAAAATGAAGATCAAAGAAATTAAATGAGCTCGTCATGCAATGCGTTATCATCTGTAAAGGTGGGCACATTGAAAACTTGTAGTTAAAATTATTTTCCTCTTTTGTGTTGTCATTGATCCTTTTTCTTTGCAAATGTTTTACAGATTTCATCATACTTGTATCATTCTAGTGTCATTTATGTATTTTTTTTCAGCGCGATGATCAATTTGCGCAGGAAAAAAGTGGCTGTTTTCATTCGAAACGTTTTCACTATAACCATAATCGTGAGAGCTCTACCGTTTTAAATCATCACAATCTCCAATGCATACCTTCAAATAATATTATTTGAAATTTCATTTCGATTATTGAGCGGATACGTCGCTAGGGGTTCATATACCTGGGAAATTTTTTTTTTTTATGATCACCATGTATTTTTTAAAATTTTCTATTTTTCATATAATCTGAACTCTTATTATCCAAATTTTAACTATTCGGATCGTATGTCCTTATACAAAGATTGTTCAAAATCAAACATCTTTTAAATTTATTTATGGATTGTTATAATTTTCATTACTTTAAATAATGTAATAAAATTAAAAAAAATAGAGTATACAATTTTTAAGAAATTATTGGATAATTCAGGCGTATGTTTGTAATATGCTTATACACTTTATCTTGATTAATTTTGCAATACTGTCATAATATTTTACTAAAATATTATCATCATTTAGGAAATATGTAGTTCATAAATATTGCAAGAAAAGTAGTTCTATATTTTATACATATTTTTCATTTTGTTTGCTCCAAGAATAATATTTTAACTTTGTAAGTGCTTATTTTACACAAACAGACTAAATACATCATGATGTTGTCTTTGTTTTCTCTTTACATGAGAAATACGCAATTGTAGCTTTAATTTAAGAACCTATAAGTAAATAAAAATTATTTTCACTATTCTGTTTTATTTCACGTAGAAATGGATTTTTTGCTAGAGTAAATAAAGAACAATTTCACAGTTCAATTTTTTCAAAATAAGTCTGTTTTGAATTTTATTTATTATTTTATTGTTTATTTATTCAAAACATTTTATTGTTTTTAGTTGCCTAATCTTTACTGAAATAAAACACGCTAAATTAAAATAATACCTCACTTGAATTACAAAAAGTGCATATTTAGTATATTTAAAAGAGAGGAAAGGACAAATTGCTATCTAAAATTTTTTTAATTATCTGGATAACCTTTGATTCCAGATATCCGACTTATTTTATTATCCCAATAGATTCTTATCTCATTTAGTCCGGATAATTGAAGTTCTACAAAATGAGCTAAATCTTCAATTTACTGTGCAAGGACATGTGTGTATATAATAAGTATCACAAAAACAATGAATAAGAACTAAAAACCGGATTTTTAATTTCGCAGATTAAAAGTACTTTTTTTTTTTTTTAGTTTAAGAAGTAAATCGATAAATTAAATTATTAATATGTTTAATATTTAAATTCACTTATCAGAGTACGTCACAGTATTCACATATCAAGAAAACTTCAAGATACATAATCTGCATAAGATTTTAATTTCAAATTTGCATTAAAGCTGGATTCCTTTATTTTTCTGTTATTTAATAAACAACAAATAGCAGGATAATAAAGTAATTCATTAACAAAATACGTGTTAATCAGCGGTCTCTAGCGCCTAATTGCCGACTATGCCCATAAAGCCCAAGCATAGGGCTCCAAGTTCTGGCAGACCTCAAATTGGAATGTTTCATAATACACCCCGTAACATTAAGAAGTTGGTGGTGTGGTGTATTTAATTATGGCAAAGCACACTAGGGCTATCTGCCTAAGAGGAGGGATGCCTTTCGTGTGGAGGACTTTCTAAGGGAAACTGGCTCGTATACACGTTACACATGGGGAAAACCACGAAAACACCCATGCAGCCAGCCCGTTTGCTTGATTCGAACCTCGGACCGAACTACCAGTGCTCAGCGACTTTACCGCTCGGCCGCTGGTGGGCCGTAACATTAAGAAGAGTGAATTTTGGGGAGCCTGAAAGAACGTCGCGCCTGATGTTCTAAGGCTAACTAAACTTGCCTTTACGTCTTCTTTCCCCACCTAAACACAAAACTTGCAAACGTTAATTTTATGCCAGTAGTTTAACGTAAATTTCCTTTTAAAATGCAAAAAATCTTTTCCAGAGAACTATTTTGTTTTCAACCTGCAGTATGAAGCGTCACAATTTGTAACAAACGACCGTAACAATTGAAATTATGTTAGGATTCCTACATGCAGTTTTAAATTTGTTTCGCATGATAAATTTGTTTGACAGTTCATTCCTAGCTGCTAATAATTTATATAGCTTCTTACAATATATATTCCCTAAGAAAATTCACCAAAAGATATTTTGCAATTATGAACAAATTCGATACGTAGCTCATTATTACAGCAACACATACACATATGTGTGTGTGTGTCTGTATATGTATATATATATATTATTTTTAAGTATTTAGTAAGCTGTAAAAATTGGGAAACTGCGCTTGAATAAAATCAAACAACATTGCAAGTATTGCTTCCTAACTTCTTTCGATCACTATGGAATATTAAGTAAAAAATTAAATGTACCATTATTTTATTTATTACATTAGACTCAATTACAGTTCTCTAGAATAAGAAATGAAGGATACTTCCATTGTTTGTTTAAAATGGCAATTAAATATATTTAATATCTTGATTTGTTTCGTTTTCGACATTCTTATCAATAAAATTTTAATTACTTATATCAGCAATGCTAATCAATAAACTAAACATATTATCGAAAGATATTCATCTGTATATGTCACAGTCACAATTATGTTAATGACTGAAACTGAGATCACCAAAATTTAAATAGACGAAAGAGGGAATGAATTATCGAAAGCATTTTGTTTTGATAATTTTTTATGTGGACGAATAAAAACGTTTAATATAAGTGAAATAATTAATATTCCTTAGATTTCAGATTGAAGCAATGAAAAAATTTTAACGAGCGAAACTTATTCAGATTCATTTTCGTCTACAACTCAAGAATTTGCACATATAACACATAAAAGTGCTCGAAGATACGAAAATCAATTCAGATTAATTCGTATCTTCATTTACTATTTCTATAGCATAATTTAAAGAAAGAAAATCTGAGACCAGAATACACTTTCACTATTAAAATAGAGCTAATATTTTTACAGATCAGAAAATCATTTCACTTGCAATAATAACATTATTTCATGATGATTAGAATCTTAATTTCATGATTTCAAAAAAAAAAAAAAAAAAAAAAAAAAGTGAGTATTCGTGTTCTGTTTTGTAAGAACTCGAACAAACTTTAAAAGCCGTATCAAAAGTACCACGCGTGCGTCATTGCAATTAACCCGTTGCTCAAGTTTCGTTATAAACACATACTTATCTTACCTGGTTCTTCCTTGTTTCTCATTTTTCCTATCATAATAGCGCAAGAAGAAGAAGCTAAGCATAACGCCAAAAGGCAGTGAATTAAGAAATTGAGCATTGCTGGTGTCTTGCTTGTGCTCGTAGAATGGCAGTGTAGTATCACAAGGCCTTACTTTAGTTTAAACAACTTCGTATAATAACTTTCTCAGCGATACGTCGCAGAAACATAAAAGCAACAGGTTCCTACATCGTGGTTCGGATGAGTGAGTGAAGATAGACGAAAAGGAAAGGTGAGGAAGGTCTGGCGAAAGTTCTTTCTGTCACGTGACTAGAAAAGTTGTTCTGACCCTGGAAATATAACTTGCCTCAGATTGATGTCGAGATTTTTTTCCCTCCACGCCTCTCACTTTTTTGGTAATAGTAGTTAATTAAGTATATCCAGTGACAACTCACCAATGAGTGTTTGGAATCTGTTTCTCAGCGCAGAAACCGTTGTTTTATTGCCTAAGAAGTTATTTTAGAAACACTTTAAGATAAAATATCGCTTGTTAAACTGAATGTACACTGTTTTTATGAATATATGTCATCATATAACAAAATATTTTTTTTTTTTTTGAGCTGGGCATGCATCCTGTGTTATTTGCGAATGCTTTTCCAAGAATTTTTCATTAGCTGAGCAGGAAAAAAAAAGTGCAAAGGAATTAATTCGAAATAAAAAGATTGAAATTGGAAAGAAATATTTTATTCACATTTTACATCGATTTTCAATTAAAACAACTTTCATAATATACATTACCATTACTACTATCTACCACAGAATTCTCACCAGAGTGGTTGCCGATTCTTTAAATAAACCATTCAGCTTTATTTCCCCCCTCAACAACTATTAAATGTGGTCCCTATTCAGAAACATTCTTAATATCCTTTGCACATCTCGCATGTATATAAAAATTGCACAGAATATCCCACGTGCTTATAATATATTTTCGCATAAATAAAATAATCTTAATGCAAATTAGAATCTATCTACTTATTATAATTTATTGCATTTATAAAAAGCCAACTGATAATTATTTTAATTAAGACCTGGGTACCGAGTTTAGAATATTCCTTTTACCTTACTAGGATACACCATCAGCTAAAAATGAAGAAAAATAACAGAAAATGAATATCATTTCAATAACTTTAGTAAAGAAATTGTCTATATATAGTGAAGAGACTTGTAAGTTACTTTTCTCCTTCTTTTAAAGAGATCTTATAAAATTGAGCATAAACTTAGTACTCGTACCATAACTATAACTTCATTTTCTTCCTCTGTAATAGCTCTGGATTTAAGTTGTGCACAACTTCTTCTACGTATTTTTGGTGTTATTATGTGTAAATGCTTACATGATTAAAAATTAGATAAGAAGAAACTGTGATGATAAAATGCTTTCCAGTGTCGCGTTATTTATAGCAGATTTTACAAAGACCCTTTTTACACGTTTCGTATGTTTATACGATTCATGCATATATACTAATTATGCTTTATTTAGTTATATAATTTCTACGCCTTTAAATGCAGAATTCTCAATAATATTCTAGTGCAAATTTATTGACTTTAAACTATTACTGATTAAAATTGAAGACGTCTGAGAAAAAATTCACCGAGCCGCTGCAATGTAATTTTTTTTTTTTTGTTTTGTTTTGGTTATTAATGGTATCATCATGGCGAAAATAGCAGCCGTGATAAAACATACAGTTAACCCTTTAAATTACAGCGCTTTACTAATTAGAGCTTCAGGAACTAGAATGTTTACTCTACGGAGAGATACAAAATCTTACAGAATCTTTCGTAATTACTGAATAAAAACCGTGTTCGTTTTATTTTAAGAAACGTTTATAGGATCCTCCACTGTGTAATTCTAAGTTAAGTTAAAAGTGAGAAATTTTAACTAATAAGTAAGCGAATAATCGCTTGAGTTCGTGAGACAATAAGTAAACTTGGAAAGGGTTAAAAGATCCTTTATTATTCAAAATAAGATTTAACAGAACTCCGCCTTCGGAGTTGTACAATAAGGCCGACACTTGGGCTTGAACTTAAGAGACTAAGAATTAAGCTAAACTAATCTTAAACTAAAGAGATATAACTCGAAGCTAATCAAGGTTCTAACAGAGTTGGCCCCTTAAGGCTTAATAGACTGCGAAGCTATGACGGGCCTAAAGTACGGCCGAGGCGTGGTAATAGAGTAGCGTGACGAGAGAGTAGCCTAAAACGGTGGACGCGTGCAGCCAGAATATCTTGTATCTCTCTCACTAAGACAGCAGAACTTCGCTGTTAAATACCGCTCTTCCTCATTAGCATTCAGACGTGATTCTAAAACAACGTTCTGGCCGGAAGTGGTAAGTTGAAATTAAGAAGCGATAGGAAAGGAAGTTTAACTCAAAATTTAACTGTTTAAAAATAACTGTTATTAAAATTAACATAATCCTTACACGTTAATTGATCGAAGAGTCTGTCTAGAACTAACAGTTAATAAAGTAAAGAAGCAATCACTTTTTTTTTTTTTTTCATATTTACATTTTAATGTTTAAATTAGTCAGTTAAAACTTGACTCTCATTTTTGAGGTAAACCTAATTCCAGCCGAACGCATCAGAAGCCAAGTAAGATGTGTTTATGTGAATCTTTGTTATGAAATTAAAACACATTATCAGCAAGAAATTTATTGTTATGGTACTATTTCTTATTTCGTAAACGTAGCTTCTAATTATCGAACGTATATCTCATTTTCCGTGAGAAGAGGCAAAGACCTGTTTTCGCTGTCAAATATTTAAGTATGTCTGAATCCTAAGCAATCTAAGAATTTGAAGGTTAATTTGATCTGGCTGCTGTAAGTGGAAAAGATAAAATAGTTGTGAGCGTATAATGATTACGTTTTATGCCAAATACAGATTTAAAATATTATACTCTGGCAACTTTAAAAAGAATCGAGATTTACACTTATTTCAAATGACAGATCTGCATTTGGAAACATGTAATAAAATAGTTGAAGTTTTCAGTTTTTTCAACGAAACGCTTTAAGGAGAAAAGAAGGAAATATATGTTTTGAATTTAAATTTGTTTCAAAGTATATTTTTAATTTACTCAAGCACTTTATTAACTATACCACCAGTGTTTCATTAATGGTATTTCGTGGAACTTAACACTCTGTGAGGTACAATTAATCCCGTAAAAATAATAAATTGCCACTAAGCTTATATCTGGAGGAGTGTGTGTGTGTGATTATGGCAAAGCCTCGAGGGCTATCTGCCTAAGAGGAGGGATGCCTTCGTGGAGGACTTCCTAAGGGAAACTGGCTCGTATACACGTTACACATGGGGGAAAACCACGAAAACGCCCACGCAGCCAGCCCGTTCGCGGGATTCGAACCTCGGACCGAACTACCAGTGTTCAGCGACTTTACCGCTCGGCCGCTGGTGGGCCTATATCTGGAGGAGAAAACAGTATTTGGATAAGGTCGCTTTTATAGCATAGCTTGCCTTTGTAATTGTGATACAGAATCTTCACATTGCGTCATGTTTCAAAAAAAATTTTCCCCTATCTAACTGCTGAAAAAGAAGGCACAAACTACTGTAATTTTTAGTGTAGTATTAGTATGTCGCAATCTTTGAAACAAAAATATGGCTGTACTGGATCCAGTGCTAAAAATAAATTCGTTCATGCAGTGTTTTAAACCCATATCACACTACCAAATGCGAAACACAACAGACAGTTTTATTTAGAAAGACGTTCTCCTAGAACCAATTTCGACGGCAGGTTTTCATTTGAGGCTATTTTCTTCGAGATGGAAAACATTGCTTTTGACACTGTGTTGGGCGTTATATGAACCGATGAGAAGGAAGAAAAGATCACAGTACCAATGTAAGTAACCTATTGTACGTCAAATTCCTGAAAGTAAGTTCCATAAAAATGGTTTTTTCCATCTAATATTCCGAGGGTTAAGACAGGTCTGTTAGCAATCTTGCATGATGATCCAAAATATTGCCTCTAATATGGAGTCGCCCAGTTAATTATAAAAGAATGCCCATGATCACAGAAATTATTACGGATGATGATGGATTTATGTAGGGTGTATGAAACATATTTTCAATAAACGGACGGCAATCTATTTCCACGTTCTCAAACATATTATATTCTCTTCAACAATGCTACGAGATCTATGCATATCAATTACTCCCTTTGCAAAAACGATTATCTTTAAGAAAATTAAAATGAAAACTTTAAATTTTAAATTATTATCTATTAAATTAATTTCATATTTTCCTGAAAGCTCTGATAGTATAATTTACTATTGTAGTTTTTGTCATTTAATAAATACCAGAATTTTAGCCTAGAGGATGACATGGCTGTTGCATTCAGTAGCTATGAAATTCTAAGAAAGAAAAAGCATACAACTGCTTTCCCTATAAACTGTGTAACTTTCGATTTAAAGACCTTAAATTAAGAAATATTTCCGTTTGTGACGCATTCATTTGTTAGCTGTCACGCTACAAATATTCAAGCAGTTCCGTTAAGCTACACAAAATGCAAAAGGATTTTGTAATGGAATTTAGTTGGAGATTGTGTATACGAGCCAGTTTCCCTTACAAAGTCCTCCACGAAGGCATCCCTCCCCTTAGGCAGACAGCCCTCGAGGCTTTGCCTTAATTAAATAACCTAACCTAACCTAGTTGGAGATCATTGAACTAGACTGAACATTCTCAAAATCAGCAACTATTAATATCCAATAATCGTAGAAACACTAAATGAATTCACCTGAAATAGTTATATACATATATACGTCTATATCATGGAAATAGGAATGCACATGCCTTAGGGAATGGTAAAATTTTCTATCGAAAAATAGAAATTTAGGTTTCTGCGTCAAATTTTAGTGACAATATGCAAGCTTGACTTCAAATGAGCATTTATACATTTATATTTAAAAACTATACAGCGCGATTTTAGTTTCTATAACAAAATTCTTAACAGTATAAATTTTTTTAAGAAGTATGCTTCGTGAAATACAGAATAAAAATGTATTTCATGATTTTAAATGAGTTAAAACGGTGCTGAAAGAAATTGCTTTTCATTTACTTTCAGTACCAAGTCTTATTATCGCTAATTTACGCACCTCCCATGCGTCATATTATTTCATTTAATCTTTAATGATATATATATTGTGCACGAAAAAAAACAAAGTACAGATTAGTCTGTGTGTGCGAAAATGGGAGTCAACTTTTTATACCTATCCCCCACT